TAGGGGATCGAGGAGTCGGAGGGCTCGCTCCCTTCTCGTGGCTCGCGCGCTGCCCAAGTCAAGCCGCGCGGGTTGCGGGGGACCGGAGGCGACGCAGCCTGACTCATACCTCAGGGACTCGCCTTGTGCGGGACCGAAGCACGTGGACGGTGACCACCAGGGTGCAATAAGTGCCAGGGCAGAGGCAGGTGTGTGCAAGGCACAGCGCTAAGGCCAGAGGCCTTTCTTTCCAACCTTCATCCACCTGATCTGTAAAATAAAGGCAGCACTTTCCTCCAAGTGTTTACAGTGATAATTAAACGAAATAACACGTGTAAAGTGTTATGGCGTTGCTTGGCTCCTAAAGATCACTGAAAGGTAGTTACCGTTGTTAATAATAATGTTATTGTTATCATTGTAGGTATTAATCATGGTGGGGAAGGCTCGGTAGAGAAGGCATCACAAGATTTGAAGGGTGACTAGGAATTTACCAGATGCAGAAAAGGACGGAAGAGTTTCACTGGTTCCTGTTCATCCTCATGTATGGTTTTTAAATATACCATCTAAGTCATAGTTATTTAAATCGACTGTAAGTGAGCCAGTGAATTCTTTCTACACTTTGGTTCAAGGTTCAAATTTAATTCACGATCTCTTTGATTTCATCCTTTGTCTTCCTTAAAGAGGATGCACAGCTGGAATATGTATTAAAATGTGATTGTCAAATTATTTTCATGCTAAGATATTATTTGTATTTTCACTTATTCTCTCGTGAGTTGTGCTTAGTTGGGTTTTCCAGAGGCTGGGTGACTTGTGTTACTGCAAAACACTGAATGTAGAACAGCTGTCTTCTATTAAGTCAAACTTTATAAAGAGATCTGCAAAAATATAAAACAATGCCATTTTCACTAAGCTGTTCTGGAAATGCATTTTTTTCACAAGAAGATACCATTTATGTTAACATGTAATGGACTTATTTTTGTTTTTAACTGAATGAATATTTAAATTTTTTGTTTGAATTTCCTAATATGGTAAATTCCATAGATAAAATCTATATAAGCCAAAGTTATTTTAGGGCCCTCAATAACTTGTAAGAGTGTAAAGGTGTTCTGAGACCAAAAGTTCGAGGGCCACTGTGTTAAAGAAATAAGTTTATCAGAGATAGATGTCCTAGGAGTACATAAGTACCTGAAAGGAGGAGGGAAATAGTATTTAAAACCCAAACTGTAGCCACTGCAGCCTTCCTGTATGAGGAAAATAAATTTTCACACAGCTTTCTTCCGCCAACAGAGTAAGGGAGAGAAAAATGAGAAAGAAATTACAAAATCTCTGCCAGTGATTCTGTCTTGCTGAAATGGCCCTTTGTTTTATCAAGACATTAATGAGTCTTTGGCTTAGGTAAGCCTGGGGCAGAGTAGAAGGAAAGAGAGTTAAATCACCCTCCATAATAAAATGAACAGGATTGAATTAAGGATAGGGTGGGGGAGGGAACCAGAACCCAGAGAAGGGGCCAGGAAAGGAAAGAGTAGCTTACTGGGGAGGGTTTTTGAGTGGGAGGGGGCTGAGCTACACCACACCCTCAGTGAGCAATGTATTTGGTGCGGTTGGTTTTTTGGGGTAAAAAGTTCAGGAGAAAGGTCTACGTTTTCTGTATGCATCTGCAAGAAAAAAGGAGATTATGGAGAGGAGACCCAAGTGAGCTCAAAATGTGAGGCTCTAAAGCCACAAGTGACCACAAGCGCATGAACTTCCTAGAAAAGTTACAAAGATCTTCAGGTGGCCCTTGGGCTTCCCACAGACCATGGGATATGAGATGTTGCATTTTTATTATTATTTTATTTTACTCTTTTAACCTCAAAGGGCCAGATGACTTCAGTTGACCGTGGACTTATAACTATTTGAAACCCCATGGAACTGAGAGGGGATGTGGATTAAAAGGAAGGACAGAAGCATGGCGCATACTACAAACTGCCACATTGGAAGTGGTACATAAATTATGTTTCATTGGTAACAATATTTCATTTGGCTAGGCTCTCTTCTCTTGAAAAACTGGAGGGCATATTGGAATTCCCGAATACATTTCTCTATAACAGCACCCTGCATACAATCAAGGTAGATATAGGCAGCTTAGAATCATTTGGGGACTCTCATAGAAATCATTAAATGCAACTTTTGCCTAAAAGAGGGTCTATCGCAGGTCCAGATGCCCAAGCCATGACACAACTGTGCTGTGAGTGAGAAATAGACTTATGTTGTTGTCAGCCACTGAGATACTGTCATTGTCACTTGCTTTAGAGATGTTGATTTTATAGCCCTTCTACCTGCGGAAAGTTGATGTAAGCAGGCATTTGCTGTATGAAGGATGTTCAATGCCTGTGTGAATGCAATGTGCCCAACGCAAGTGTGAGTTCCTGCCGTGCAGTGCGAGGAGACCAGAGTTTTCTGGGTCTGTGGACTCATGGATTGGCCACAACAGTACAGTAACTGGAGATCCTCCGTGGTAGTCCATTTTATTGTCCGTTTGTGCCCCTGCCTCCCAGGAGAGGATAATAGCTTCTTGACCTATTGATGACAAACTTGGCCAGGTGATTCCTTGTAGCCATGAAGCATGCCACGTGTTGGTTCTGGGCAGCAAATTTAAGAGCTAACATGTGGTTCCCCGTGCTTTCTTCTCCCTCTGTCGTAGCAACCTGTAATGTTCTATCATGTCATCCACCTGGGTCCCTGTAAAGTAAAGATGACTTGGAGCACAGCTAACTAAGGACACGGGATGGCAGTAAGAAGTAAACCATTGCTCTTGTTGTCTGTGGAGATCTGTGATTGTTTCTGCAGCATAATTAGCCTATCCCGACTGATACTCCCCATGTCCAGATATCTGCCAAACAAGACTATTGCTGCATTCTTCACTTACCATCGTTACAGTGCTATCTTTCAGTAAAAGGATGGAGAGGAAGGAGCTACTAGATTACACCTAGATCTGACCAATAGAAAAGACCTGATTGGGAGGGTTAGAGTGACAGAAACCCTGGAAGGCTCGCCATGCCGTGGTAGAATTCACGATGCAAGAGGAGAGGACTTGGAGAACATGTGCTTTCACTTTAGGAAATGAACCTAAAGAAATTCATCATTTTTTTCTCGGGAGCTCCAAAGAGGACTATGACTCTAGGGATGGGAAGCTCAAAGAACAAACCTTTGTTCCTAAGAAGAAACCTAGCTAAAGAAATCAGGGTGATGGAGCTAGAGTTCCAAAGAGCAAAGATGGGCATTTTCTGTGGTTTGAACCACAGCCAGTCAGATCTCAGGTGACCACCGTAAGGAGCTTGCCTCATTTAGAAAATTATCTTAAAACATATCCTTTTGTTGATTTCTTCTGGGAAGACAAGGGGTGTGTGTGTATGTGTGTGTGTGTGTGGTCTTTCTTACCATCAGCAATGGTCTTGGGAAAAGACCCTCCTTTCCAACCCCCACAGAGACTCCCATTCTTTTTTGCTACAAATAAGTCTTCAAGAATATTAAGTCCAGGGAGGGCTGAGTGTTATGTGCA